AGTTATATCTATGTAAGTTGCTGAAACCAAATTGTACGATAAGAATATTTGAACTCGATTTTTTGTTTAAAAAATGTGTGTGGCAACAATATGCAATTACTCAGTCGCGTGACTTACTTTATATAGAAGTGAGAAAAATTTAATGTCCGTCTTATACCTAAGTCATTGTTTTTAAATAATTATAATTAAAGAACTTTTTAATTAATCAAAACATTTTATTTTATCTTTGGTATGGTAAAATGCTATTTGGAATATTTGGAATATCTTTCCATTAGATCGTACTACCACTTCGGCTTATTACGACTGAATAAAGGAATAGTATTCAAATATATCTAACCTAAAAAATAAATTTTGCATTATTTGACCTTAAGACCCAAAATAATTTAAGAGATATGCATAGATTTTCGACAACTCATATAAAGATATTTCCACACTTTTATAGGGCGCTGAACGGCAAAAGAAAACGCTGGAAAAATAATTTCTTATCTAATCATAGACCGCATTAGATATAACAGAATATGATTCGATTTTCTAAGACAAGTTTTCCGCTACAATCGGAATATATTTTCATTAAACTACAAAAAAATTGCTGTTAAATACTTTTACATGTTGGACGAAGTTTTCTCCTCTTTAAGTATGCAACATTGAATTTTTCTTATAATCACTCGGTTTAATAATTAATTAAGATGCTCTATCCTATGATATTTATAAAATGTATGTAAATAAATTTCTGTTATACCATTAACATCACGAAAGTTTTAAAAACGTCTACAGACAGTAAATACAAGAGAAAAATTACTACTCAAATTCAGAAATGTATTTTACAATTAAAGATAAAATATTTGTGTATACATTTAATTATACATATATGTATGTGCGTATGCCTATATATCATATATGTATGTATATAAATTATTATTGTTATACGTATTTATGTATTATTTTCAATTATTTTTTTTCTATTTATTTATTTTTGCCTTATTTTCGCATTAAATTATAATGAAAACAATTTCGTAAAACAATATTTTTCTCAAAATAGAATTTTCTATATATTTTCTTCTTATAAATATCTAAAATAATATGCAAATCGATTATTCAATTTGAATATTTTTTTATAAATATACACATATACCTAAATACATAAAATAAATAATATTATTCAATTGAATTTACATATGTACTTTTTGTATGCGGTAGAATCAAAATAAAAAAATGAAAAAAAAAATGATAAAAAATATTTTTGTTTTGTTCTTTTGAAGTTTTTATTGAAATAATAAAAAAAAATATATTCTATATTGCTCCTTCAGGATTTTTATTGATAAAAAGAAAAAATATTTGCATTGTTAAGGAAGAATTCTAATAATTATTTGTTTTTTTTTTTTTTATTTTATTTATTTTATTCTTAAAAAGATTTATTTTCTTCCTTATTTAAATAACTTAACTGTTTACATGGAGTACTTATAAGATTTTTCAGATTGTTATTGAAATATTGTGTACAATTATTTAAAATTGCATATTTTTAGGATTATGCACTTTTTATTTAAATAAATTTCTTTTTATCAATAAATTTATTTAATATTTTATTTTCTATATAGAAATATTTAAAATTAAAAAATATATATTTTTTTTAAATAATTATGTTAAATTATATTTAATACAAATTTTAAAGTATAACAGTTATGAGTATAATAGTTTTCTAAAATAAAAACAATGTGATATACGTAGGTGTAATTTTTAATTTTTAATAGAGAATATTTAATAAAACATATTTAATTAAATATGAGTATAACAGTTTACTAAAATAAAAATAATGTGATATACACAGGTGTAATTTTTAACTTTAAATATAAAAAATATAGACAATTAAATTAATAAAATAATAATATTTAATAAATAGTTCATTATAAAATTTTTAGTAAATTCTGATTCTACTCTTTTATTATAATCTCTACTATATACTTTGAACATAATATTTCTATATTCCCTCATAATTTTAATATATATGTACTTATAATTCTAATACAAATTTCGAAAATTAGGTAGCGCGCATATAACAGTAAAGATAAACAGAGTAAAGTGATAAACTTTGATTTCATTTTTTGTATTTCACACCTCCGCAATTTCAGGGATTTATTGACACTTTTATATATCAGTTAGGATCACTATTACTGAAAGTGATTTTATATGTATATTAGAAATTAAATATTTCACATATAATTTTTAAATTTCACTCTACTACACTCATTAAAATTTAATTTAAAATTCACTTTTCTTTTTTTTATTATAATTATAACTATTTTCGTCTATTGGTATTACCACATATTAAATTTATTTGTATGTGTGCATGTTCACAAATGTATTCATTTTATCATGACATATTCAATTATCTGACATTATCTTTAATTTTTCACAATTAAAATAGAATTTAATTTGTAAACAAACAGTAGAACAACTAAAGCAGCCATTAACAAATCAACCACATTTAATATTCATTTTGTGTATGTAGATGTATGTATATATCTATATATCACTTAAAATATATTATGTTTTAAAATGAAATTTTAATAATTTAGAAAATAATTTTCTCTTTTAATATAATTTTCCAAAAAATTTTCAAATTTAACGTGTACATATGAAATTCATTTTATAGCTTTATGAATTCTTTAAATGAATAAAACTTTCATTTGGTTCAAAATCATAAGTTTTTGTTTTAACAAAAAATAAAGAATTAATAAAATTTTCATTCATAGTTTATTTTTTTATTTTGTTTTTTAATATATTAAAAGTGTCAAGAATAAATTTATGTACGTGGCATAAAGTTATAAAACTAAAAATACAAGTAAATCAAAAGAAAAAAGAGAAAAAAATCTAATTTAGAAATGAAAGTTTTTTTTCTTTCTTTATTTTTTTCTTATTCTTTGCTTTATTAAACATGGAAAATGCATTATACTAAATATATGTATGAATGTATGTATGTATACACACATTTATTTCAAGGTGTCTGTTGCATTAATTTTGTAAGAAAATTATTGTATATAATGCAAACTCATATATTTTAAAAATAATAAAGTTGATAGGACCAAAGCTTTCTTTAAATAGCATTCTTCCGTTCCGTAAAAATTTAAGGCAGAAACTAAAATTTTTTTGGGGTCAAATTATGAAAACAATCTACTACGAATTTGAAATCATTTTAACATATTGTATTGCATATCTTCAGGCGAAAATTCAGAATAATAATTTAAGAAAACAACAGCCTGTTAAATAACCCCAGCCAAAACAATTTACTTTAATTGTTATGGCGTTCTGATTATTCTAATTATTATTCCGAGATTATACGATTTTACTGTTGCATTTAAATAGAATTTCTTTGACATTTACTATCACCAAAAATTGACATTTATCAAATTTTTCAAAAGTAAATGAATTTGAGATTGAGGGAGAGTAACAATTATATTTGAATAAATTTTATCATACCATCAGTGGGTTAGTGACACGTTGCAAAATTTTTGGAAATCATGCTACAAACAAACCGACGAACAGATAGGATGAAATTATAATGAATAGAATTTGAAATTTTGCTTTAAAATATACTAAAAATTTGTACGAGAAAAAACCCCAACTGAAAGCTTAAACTTTGAAAAATTTTACCATTTCTATGGTGTATGCGAGCAGTTTTTGTATTATTTTATATATTTTATAAATATATAACACTATGTTAAATTTACATACTCCCGCGTTTACATATGTATATTTGCATATGACAGCACTTGATCAATCTATCTACAATTTCATGAATATTATACATAGAATAATTTTTTCATCATAAATTGTTAATTTTTCATTATTTTATATTTAAAGTGCATTTTACTTGTCACATTTTTGGTAATTTTATAAAAGGAAAGCGATGTTAAATGATGCATAACTAAAACTAAAATTGTATATAAATAAAATATATAATATAACAAATATGTATAACTATGTATAAGTTAGCAAATACTTAAATTAATAATTCGATAATATAAGGACAATATAACAGTGCCGTACTTAAGTTTTTATCTAGCCTTGCACTGTTATCAAGTATTTCCAAGTAAAAATGATTTAAGAAAATTTCAAAATATTTCGTACACTTGCTCATATTTATTTTACTAACTATATTCCAATATTTGATAATAAAACAAATCAAGGAGTTGTTATGAGCGACAATTAAACGTTTGAAGTCATTTTGTGTTTTTAACTGATATTTTTAAATTTTTTTTAAAAAGAAACCCTATTCACGATCAATTTGAATCCAACACGATAGGTTTGGAAATTCGGATTATAATCATGAGAATCCGCTTCTTCTATCCTATCTTTAAAAAATTTTGATGCCTCGACCTACAAGATCCTCATATTTAAAATTTAATTCGCAAATTTAGTGTTATAGGAAGACGTCCCGGTTTATTTTATCTACAAACAAGTGTATCCTTTTATAAAAAACTATACAAAATATTGAAATTTTTGAATGTTAGTGACAGTATACCACTTATAAAATCAAAATCTTTTGTTAAAATCTTCTATTATATGATGGAGATTGAAAACAAGTTTTGTGTGTTTTTTCTTGTTTTATTTTAAAAGGACTGTGAATTTTCTTTTCCCATTAAAACAAAATATGAAAAAACACAAATTTTCTTTTATAATATCAAAAAAATGAAATCATGTCCATCACTACAATCTCATGTAATAAAAATTTTCTAAAGTTTAAAAGTAAGAGGAGGGAGGGGGGAATGACAAGGAGGTAGGGCAAGAGCAAAAAAGATTCATGTTTTTTTTCTCCAATGTTTTACATGCTAAGAGGTGTTATTTTATGATTAAGGAACCTTTTTTTTTTATAGTTCATAGGAAAACATTTGTTTTTTTAGATCATGTAAATTTCTTCTATAATTTTGCATAGTAACAACAAAAAAATACAACTATTTTACATTATTAAATTTGTTACTTTTTTTTTATTATTCTTATTAAAGGTATGTGCCATTCAACATGTAGATGTTTGTATGTTTAATAACGGTAAATTTAAGAATGTTGTAGCTGATTCAGATAATAATAATTTACCATCGGATCAAACAACTGTAGGTCCTGGAAAAAATTTAAATTCAACAATAATATTAACACCGAAAAGAGGTGAGATTTTTATATACATATTTTTTTAAACTACACACACGATCCATACAGTAAAACTTTCATATAATGAACGATTTAAAACCAAATATTCTATTCATAATACATAAGAAATTCAGATAAGTAGAAAATTAAATTATATTATAAATTTTCTGATGCCACAATTAAATTTTCATTAAAAAAGAGAATTTTGTTATTTGGATAGTTCGTTTTATGCAAGTTTTACTGTATAAATTGTTTAAAAATAACAATTATCTTATTTATTTTATATACCTAAGTTAAAGTGGTAAGATTTTCTTTAATTCATTGAAAATTTTCTTGTTCAATGTGTATATGTGCCACATGCATACATTTAAATCCTTTATTTCAATTTAAAAAAGAAAATTTCATTTTTTTCTGTTCTGTTTTGTTTTGTTTTTTTTTGTTTCAATTAATTTTCTAATTAAAGTTCCGCGTGTTTAATTAAAAATACGCCAGAAACAAATAATTGCACTCTTGGTGTATAAACATTTTTTGTTGTATTTTTTTTTGAATGAAAAATTATTACTAATAAATATTTGTTCGCAGAATTAAAATTAATTAATTAAATGATTTTAATATAAAATAATGCGTGTGTACATATAAACTTTAAGTAGATATTTTTTCTTAAATATTTTAAGCAAATTATTTAAAATGAGGCAGAAATTTTGTGTTTCGAATAAATTGAATTCAAGGTTTATATTTAATTTTTGAAATGATTTACAATTTAATCAATAACTTCGAAACGTTTGAAAATTTGAACTTATTTTAATGAAAAATCATAATTTTTTTTAAGTTTAAAGTTTTGCTCTGATTTCTGAAAATAAAATTTGTAACTTTCTGCTTTTTTTATTCATAGTTTCGGAACTTTACTGTTCTATGTAGAATTTCGATTCCTATTTCTTAATTCAATTTTTACAGACAATAATGAGCTTAAAATTCAAACTCATAGTAAAAAAGAGAAATAAGTCGAGTTTGATTTAGTTAGTTGTTGTTTAATTACACCCAAATTTATAAGACTAGCTACTTTAAAATAATAATAAAATGATAACATTCAAAAAGTATGCTCGATATTTTTGTACTATTGTTACGGTAATACTATTGATAAAGTAACGTTAATATCATTGATAAGGCTTAAATGGAAAAATAAAAATGACGTATTTTTAAATATTAAAATTAAAATTCTTATATAGTAAAATAGACTCATATGAAAACTACACTAATAAGAGTAATACCAACACTCTCTAAAAGATATTCTTATAAATAGTCAATAAAACCGAAAACAAAATTTAAATTTAATTCCAATATAACTTTTAATTTCAATAAATGCGGCAATAATCTGAATTTTTTACAATTTATATGCAGATTTTTTCCTACTTAATGTTTATTTTAATACCAATTACATTTAATTTACATATACATGTGACTATACCTTTACATACACATGCGATGGCATTTAATCCTTTATATATCCTTTAAAAATAACAGCGATATTATTATTTTATGTAAATAACTAAAGGTATTCCGTTCATACATGATAAATTGAAATAAAATAAATACACAAACACACGCGTTATATAATTTTTTTCAAAATTTAAATGATATACGGAGAAGATCATGATTTTTAATGATTTTACAAAATAATTACGAATTTATGCAAAAGATTTTAAAATAAAAAGGATTCTTTTTTTTATTAAATGATTTCGTGCAATATGAGAATTTTTATAAATAAAATTATGATAAGATGAGATTAACATAAATTATTGGCTAACCAACAAATTCGACAAAACATTAATTAATTAATAATAAAAAAACGTTTTGCATATGTAGAGCAGCGGATTTATCCTTAAGCAGTTTCTACATTTATTGTAATATGTTATCATTAAAATTTGATATATGAAGGATTATTGAATTGTAATTGATTTATTGAAATTATCTGATATATGTGTAAAATTTATGGTACCAAACAAAATTCGTTAGAATTTTACTAAAATTTATTAATAAAAAATGACAATAGTTTGCATATTGCTGTATATCTAATTTATTCCAATCCTTTTGTTTCCATGGTGCTTCCAAATAAATGAATATTGCCTTTAGAGTTTATTGTGTTGAACTTATTACATTTTCGATTGCTTCCTTAATCAATTTGTTTTATGATGTCGTATGGGCTAAAATTTTAAAATTTTGAATAAGTTTAATGTGATTCACAATTCGCTATACATAAATATACTTTTACTATATACTAAAATTTTAAAATGATTGAAATTTATTTTTTTTTAAAATTAAAACTCAAATCTTATTTTTTTTTTTCAATTTTTCCATAATAATGGTCTACACCAACAATTTTATGACAATACATAGGACCTACAAAAAATTGGATTGCCTTAGAGGATTCATTACAACGTTGTAGTGAACCGGATGAAATAATTGGTGATATAGCTGCATCAGCTGTACGTATACCAACAATAAATCCAATTGGTTCATCACCATTAACAACAGAAGATCGTAATGTATTTGCAATATATGTATCATATTATGTTAAAGTTAAATTAACATTAAGTGGTATGGGTGGTGAATTATCATTAAAATTACCATTCTCTTTGGTGCATATTGGTTCGTCATCAACAACATCATCATCAATATCAACAACTGGATCTGAAACATATAAAACAATAACAAATGAAATAAAAAATATTTCCACAAATAAAATGAAAGAAATTGAAAAACCAATATCAATAATTAAAGCAAATTCAACTGGTACACAAAATAATTCAAGTGGACAAACAGCAAAAGATAAAAGTTCAGTATTTAGTAGACAAGCAAAAGGGCATGCTAGTGATGATGATATTATTGACATTGCAGATGATGATTATGATATTATAAAAACAGATAATAGTAAAAGCTGTGAGCATCAACAATATACAACAACAAATGAATGCAGTTATGGTACTGGTACATGTGGTATTAATTGTCCTGGTGGTAATAATTGTAATAAAAATTTACATTCATTAGAAAGAATCGATTCAATTGAAGATGAAATTCCAATACAAATACCAAATAAAAATTTACAAAAAAGACGTTTAACACGTAGTGATATAAGAGTTAAAGATTCATCACAAGAAGATGAAGAAGATATTGATGAAGCATTAAATGCAGCAACAACAACAACAATTATTGATGCACTTGTTCATAGAACAATGAAAATTGAATCAGATCAAATTGAAATACATACAAATACTAGAAATGAAATAGATAATTCTGATAGTAGTAATATTCCTATTGTTACGACAGCAAATACAACAGCAAATACAACTACAACTACTACTACTTCTCATATTGATATTGATGAAGTTAATATTATTGATAATAATTCGTCTAATAAATGTGATATTCAAAAAATTATTCAACAAGATGATGATAATAATGTGCCAATAAATAATAATAATGATGGTAAATCAAATATTGAAGATTTGAAGAATACAAAATCGTTGATATCAGAAACAGAAACAACAACAACCGTAATAGTGGAACAGACAGCTACTACAGATGTAGTATCATCAACAACATCTTATAATAATAATAATGATAATAAAACTGTTATGAGTAATCAACAACATCATATACAAACGACTTGTGCTCAAATTCATATGCCACATGATTCTTGAATTAATTTAAAAAAATATTAAAGAAAAGAATACTCTGGTTAGTATGATAATGCTAATAGTATATGTATGTACATTTATGCATATACTCGTATTAATACTTACATATGTGTGTATGAAGAGAAAATTTTGATTGATGAGGTATTTGGAAAAAGATTTTTCTTTCATTCTTTCTTTGTTTTTTCTTGGTTTTGTTGTTGTGCAGAAGACACATAAATTTTCTAATAAAATAAAAAAAAAATTAATCATTTTATAAATATAGTGATGACATGATTTATCATTACAATTTAAATACACATATACGTATACATGCATATATGTAATTATAATAGAAATTTATTTGATTTAAAAGAATAAGGAAAAGAATTTGATTAAAATCTTTTGGAATTTATTAAAAAAAAATATTAAAGCGTTTAAAAAACCTAACAAAATGGAGTGTGAGTTGAAACAAGAGTATGAGTAAAATCCGGAAGATCAACTAAAACATTTCATTTCAAAAGAAATCAAGAATTATGTGTGTTTTCATTTTTAACATCAGAACAGATGCGGATACATTAATAAATATAAAGATCCGTGTTCTTTTTTTACCTTAGATCATGCAAAGCTAAAAATTTGCGTTCTTTTTTAAAATCAGAGCTCAGATCACACTCTATTATATTATGTTCGAAGTAAATTTTCAGATTTTACAGAATTCTGTAAAATCTATTTTCTGTAAATACACAAATTTAGTATTATTTAAAATATACTATTTTGATATTACAAATTATTGAAAAATTATTGAGTGACAGAAAATGTCTATCTTGTTTGTTTTTAAAATTAGTACTCACAGTTCGCAGATTACAAAATTTTTACACCTGGTCAAAATGAAAAATTCGACGTGCTCTGAAAGAAAAATTCAGCATTTGAACGAAAAAAAAAATGAAGATACCCTGTGTATTCCTGAATAAAATTTATTATTTCTGGTCTTTAATAATGATTATTTAACAAAAAAAATTAAGAATTATCTACACAATTTCCATAAATTTTGGTTATACAAATTTTTAAATGAAATAAAATAAATTATGACCTTATTTACATATAATACAGTTTACATATAGCTAATAACTATGGCATAGTTGACATTAGCGTGTGAACATGTTTCGACAATGCCTGTACTTTAACTTCTTAATTATAATTAAAATTACTACAAAATCTGGTATTGTAGAAATTTTTGTACACACGCCAACTAAAATGCAATTCAGTAGATCTTATAATGTGCAATTCGGGTTCTATTATTAAAATTAATGGTATAATTAATGCATGCATTGGTCAGATCTATTTGAATTTAGCAACTATTTTAGTATAAACGTGGCTAAACTAATTCATTAAGTTTTAAGAATCAAACTAACATCAAACTTTTAAGTCGAATTGTGTAGATAAATTTATCAATCTTAATCTAGTAAACATATTATGATTTTTATAGCTTGAAATTTAGCAAACTATAAAAGATTACAGAAAACAAAAAAAAAAAATAAAAAAAAAAAGGCTGAAAATATTAAAACATTTTTATGTAATTTAAATACATACACAACGGAGCAGGTTTCCGACTATTTATCGCTTAAGAAAAAAAATTTATTATTAATATTATTATTATATAAATTATATATGTATTATTGTAAAATGAAAAAAAAAATTAAAAAATCAATAGTAAATATTAAATATTTCTGTAATAATATAAGAGATTTACAATTGAAATGTAATTTTTCTGTTTTTTTAATGTAATACGTATTAGACGCTTATATTGTTACCTGTCGCAAAAAAAAATATTAATAATTATATAGAAATCTATAAAATTAAAATAATGATAAAAACAAAGTAATTCATAAAAAAAATAAAGAAGTTAATAATTATGGCAGTGCAATTTCAGAAGAAAAATTTATTGTTGTTTAAAAGAAAAAAAATTTTCAATAAAAATAGAAAAAGAATTTAAAAATTGAAGTTTTCTCACAATATTATGACAAATCTTCTACATAATATAGTAATTAACAGAAATTTCCTTTTAATATTCATTTGACATTTAATGACAAGAAATATGTGACAGATTAGATCGCATTGCTTAACTCCTATAATGGCGACGTTCGAAATTTTTATGTAAAAACAAAATTAGGGAAATTCTTGGGAATTAAAGTAGGCAACAAATATTATTAGAACTACAAGTAATTAAAAAAAAAAAGTATAAACACAAAATTTCATTAAATATTTAAAGATATTTTGAAATAATTCTTAAGTAAATCATTCCTTAATTTTTATTCAAAAACTTGAACAGCCTAGTTGACCGAGTTTCTTGTTTTGAAAGTGCAATGCGATAAACTATAAAGAAGAATCATTTATTAAATTGAAAGCTATTTGACATTTAAAAATCAATAATAATATTAAACAAAAAACTTTTATAATTACAATAATTAAATCCGTACACTTAAATATATTTTTGATACAATCAAATGGTTTCATAATTCTGTCAGCGTAAAAAAATAATCTACTAAGTCGAAAAATTATTTAAAAAAATTAAGTTTGAAGTTTCAATGACATTTTCGAAAAAAAAAAAATTGCACTTTTGTTCAAAACTTAAAAACTAATTAAAATACATTTACCAAATTTTTACAGAATACAGATTTTACCATACTAAATTCGAATTTGGTATAAACTTAAAAACTATAAAATTCGACTTAGACAATTTTTTTTTTACAATCACAGAATTACCTTTTCAGAAAGAAATTAAACTATAAACTATTTTAAAATAGACTAAAAATTTTAATTTAATAAAATTTAAATTTTTTGAATATCGTAAATTTTTTATAAAATTGAGTTGAAATCATTATAAATCAATTATAACTAATACTACAATGATATTATTATTCAATTTTAATTTACAGTATAATTAATATGAAAAACTAAGTAATGAAACAAAACTATTATAAGAAGTAGAACACAAATATTAAATTTTATTATTAAAATAGGCCGTCGATATTCCAATACAATTTAAATAAAATAAAGACAGAGAAACGATGTTTGTGCATAATGCTACACCGAATCTTTGTTTTACAAATAGTTTACACGAAATTCGTTTAACAAAACAAAGAAGGAGGCAGAATGGAAAAAAGATAAGAATGTTCCGGAGCAACTTGAATATCTCTTATAGGGTTATGTTCAATTTTAATTTCATTTAACACGATTTGCATTTTGCAATTTCCTTTTAACACTATTTAGAATATACAATTTAGCCTTGTCAGTCTTCTTTGTAAAATTTTGTTGTTTAATTATCATTTAGAATTTCCTAAATTCACAATATTGCGAATTCCTTTATTTTGATTTTGTATTCTATAATAAGTTCCAGTTATATACATAATTGTAGCAATGAGTTCGACATCTTGGAAATTTTATCGCCATAAGATTTGCAAAAAATATTCCTTAAAGCTGAAAGCACTTATCGACATACATGAAAATTTATTGCCAGAAAGCCAGTAACATTCTTAAAATTGTCTTGAACCAATCATGTTATGTGTTAAGATATTTTAATTTATTTTAATAAAAATATACAAAATAAAAATCCTAAAATAACAAAAAAAAAATAATTTTAATATGCAGTATAAAATTTCTCAATCCTGCCAATCGTATATAACAATAAATATATTTATATGTGTAATGTACTACCAAATTGGTTTAAGAGAATTTTAAGAAAATTATAAAAAAAAAAAATATTTGTATTCAAAAAACAAGCAAATAAAACTATATGCAGAATTTATTATAAAAAATTTTTAATTATAATTTTTGTTAAAATTTTAACTTTTAGAAGTTTGGGAACATGCATGCAATTTTCAGTTTTGCCCTGCTTAATTTTAAATTCATTGGCCGATCACAGAACAATACAAATCGATCACGTCAACAACACAAAATTTGCAATAAGCTTGAAATATAACAACAATACAAAATATTTGATTGTTTGATCAGATGGAATTATAAAGTTGCATGAATGATACAAAACAAATTGTAATGGAATAAAAAAGCAATTAAATAGTTTCAAAATTGAAAATTGCATTCCTGTATGAGCCCTAAGTGTATGAGCCATAAATTAAATGAAGAACAAAAAAAAAATAAAAAAAAAAATGATCGTAACTAAAAATTTAAATGTTCTGAAAAATTTATTGAAAATGATATTAGAGAAAAAAAAATTTTTTTGAATGTAAATACAAAAACAAAAAAAAAACAAAAAAAATAATGAGTTAAAAAACATTAAAAAAAAAAGACAAAATATGGCATTTTTGATTTAATTCAACAAACAGGGTGGGCGGGATTGAGGGTGACCAAATAAAATTGGGTACAGTATTAACCTCGTTGTCACGAACACCATTCTTGCACATTCCACTCAACAACATCCAGTAAAGAAATTCATGAAAGCACCTCAATCGGATCCAACACAGAGGAGAACATTCTCAGTGTTTAACCTAAATGGATGTGTTATGTGATGTACGATTCTCAAAGAAAGTTGATTCCGTATATTTAAATGTATATTATACCAAAATTACGGACTGTCAATTACACGGGATTCAAAATTCGAATTTCAAATGAGTATTTTTAGAACTAAACATTATTTTCATTGTTTTTAGCTTTTTATACGAATATCTAAAATATTAACTGTACACTGTTCTATTTTGGTATTACGCAACGCAAATATTTGTATGATGACAAATCGAATAGTATGATGACATCGAATACGAATTCTGCAACTGTTAAATGCCAGTATTCAAAAACTATACCTATAAGAGGTGAAAAAAAGGGTTTTCTATCTATCATATCAAATATCACGCTCAGGTATAGTTGAATAGGAATATATCATATTATATCATCAAAAAATATTATATTTCTATATGTGATACGAATACGGCCAACAGAATGTGAATTATTTTTAATTTTTCTTATGAATATTGAGATTATTTCTCCCAGCTTAACTCAAATTTTCTTTTTATATTTCAGTAGCTTAGTATTGCAGCCTAAAGAGGGGACAGAAATAAATTTTTCTATATTCAATAAATATTGAAATAGGGAAAGATATGAGTCGCATTTTATTATACAACGCCTTAGAGTAAGAAAATATTTTATTAAAACTTTTCATTGCAATATTAGAGAATGTTTAAAGTCCTTCTACTCAAAAGTAAATAATACTTAATACTTAATCAATATACGAAATGAAAATATTTTAAAAGTTTCTACATCATAACTCTAAGTAAAATTATTTCCTTTCAAATTAGGTACTATTCCTGAAATATATAATAACATTTTACATAATATAAAGCTTGGAAATGATTTACTATATACCCTGATATGAAAATTGTTCTAGTTATGTATCTACATAGAAAAGGGATTAATAATTTTCTATTTTCATATATTATTCAATATTTGTATATATAAATACATATAAATATAAAACGAGCATATGTATTTAAATTTTCCCGTAAATCCATAATTAAAATTCAAAACAAAAAATTTTCAATATATAAAATGCGCATTTTAAAAATCTCTATATATTCCAAATCATTCGTATACTGCAATTGATAATTAGCACAATGAAAATGAATAGTAATTATATATAGACGACAAGTAAACAATATTATGAAAACGTAAGTATATATATATGTATATTATTTGTAGTGAACTTTCTTCTTCATATATACTACATGTTAATTTATTGCATGCAGAGGAATTTCAAAAGAAAAATTTTATTATTGTAAGAATATTAGAGCTTGTTTTTAATGAAAAGTTCTTTAAATAATAATGACTTTTACAAATGATTACAGTATTATACATATGCAAATGTAAGTATATATGACAAATAATATATAACTATGCATAAATGATATAAGTCTCTAACCATACTATATTATAAGTCCTTAAAATGGAAAATTTATTTAAGCATAAAAATTTATATGATTACTTGCAATATTTTGTAATTTGTTTCATTTGCATGGTATATGATTTAAATATTCGTGTATAGGTTTATTATGTAGCATATTTCCAAGAACATATTGTGTCTATTAGTTTTGCTCTGTTCATCCATTCTTGCCTTTCCCACATCGTATTATTTAGAAAATTGAAAATTTTAATATCCTTTAAACTATGTAAGGTACAACTTTACAAAGAAATTGAGATTTTAAGAAACTTATATGTAAAAGATTGTTGTCCATTGCCTTCCTCTCCAATTCTCTTATAATATTTCTCAATTAACTTTGAGCCTCTCTAAAAATACAAAAAATCAGTTTTTTTTTTTAACAATATGTTAGAACAACAAATATTTTTTAAAAAAATGAAAACTTAGTCAAAAAACTAATACCGTTGAAACAGACCAATATTCTAAATTAAAATAAGCAAAAATTTCAATTTTCAGAATAGTTTATTTCACT